CAGCTGATTATATTCTGAATTCAATCTGTGATGAAATCAAAATTTTTTAACTTGGAAATTTAGATCGGTCAGAAAATGGTTTTAGTGAGGACTTCGATTTGTCCAAACTTATATAGTTTTGGTGGGGTTCGTGTTGCTCAGTCTTTAGTTTTCTATGTTGAGGTTTGGATACTGTTGTTTGTCTTTTTTGGCCATAGCGTTGTCAGTTTTTTTTCGACTTATGAGTTTCAATGTCCCTTTGGTATATTTCGTCTATTTTTTAATATGAAACATGGAGACATTTATCTATTCGAGGGTACTACGACGTGATGGCTATGAGGTGTCCAATTCTGGTTTGAGGAAACTATCGCTATACACTCGAAAGATAACAAACGTTTACTTAAAGGGCACATGTGTTGCTTGCAACTAATTACTGCATAAAACAGGTTTTCTTTCTAAAACAATTGAGAAAATCAGTTTATACAGCGATGTAATATCAGCGCAGAACTAATCAATTATTGCATTTGACCGTTTCATCACACTAAAGGTCAACAAATGTGCCAATAATTCAAAACATATGTCTTTTTCCTAATGGAATAGAAATAACAAGATGTGGCATGAGTGCCAAAAAGACAACTTTCCATCCAAGTCACAATGTGTAAAAAGTAAACAATTATAGGTCAAAGTACAGTCTTCATGACGGAGCCTTGGCTCATACCTCACAGCAAGCTATAAAAGGCCCCAAAATGAAGCACCTTTACGTGACACACAGAATAAAGAGGGCTGATGTCATATTGTAAAAGAGCATGATATCTAAATCAGCAGAAACAGTACAAAGGTTTTTGACTTTTATGTTTAATAAGTTACTCACTGTGTTGTTGTCTTTTCGTTTATCATTATAAACTGTTCTGTCTAACCTTCAATGGTATTAATAATCTAGTGAAAAAACTTTAAAATAGCTCCAATATTTTTCAAAGATACAACAAAGAAATAAAAAAAAATAAAAAAAAATGGATATTTCAGGGGCACTAATTCAATAACAAATTAACAAATATTTCTGAAATTTTCAGATTTAATAGTCACATACTTCAAAAATTAATATTTCAGGGGCAATAGCTCCTCAACAGGTCGACAGATTTTTCTCATATTTCCATGGTAGATGCATCTTGTCGTGCTGATTTTTTTTCTTTTTCACGTCTAACATTATTGTTTTGTGCATAAATCAGGCCGTTAGTGTTCTCGTTTTCGGGGCCTTTTATAGCTTACTATGTTGTTTGTATTTTGATCATTATTGCATGCCGTATGGTGATCTATAGTTGCTTAGATAAAGGTAACTTACTACAAACAGGAGAATAGAATAAAATGCAAATACAAACAAATCAATATGCATATCAAAACAAACAGATAATCAGTATATGTCATTACTACATTGTAACAGTAAAACATTTAATTTTAACTGACAAAAGAGTGTATATTGTAACAAAATGCCAGTTTACGCCAAATGAACAGTCAGAGAGTCTATAAAAATAGAAACAAACGTTTTTATTGTAACACACATAGAATGTATCACAACAAACAGATATAAGTGTATATTGCTACGACCAGAAATCACCTTTAAATTGTAGCCAACAACAGTCACAAATCAAATATAGCATACAATTTTACAAGATTTATTATACACAAGTTTACAAGAAGTATAACACAAATAGAAATGTAAACTTAACTGTCAAAACATATATCCGATCTTTTGTCTTTTCTTTATCCGGAATTCTTCTCTTCACTGTTGCAGAAATCCAAACAGAATATTATGTCAAATTAGTTACAAGTCACAATCTAGTATGATGTAGTTAACGTGAACAAAAGTGTTAATCCAACTGAGAGAACTTATGAGAATGATAATGTCTATGTCTGAAAGTTTAACTTTAGTGTCTGTATAAATATAGTGTTCACGGAAACTTCTAGAACACTGTAGAAAGGAAACTCCTCGAAAACTGTAGAAGGGAAACTTCTAGAACATGTTGACGTTTAAATTACGCATCTTTAATTATGATAATTCAGGAATTGTTATGTAAGTAAAATAGAAAGTTCTAATCATTCCGTGATTGTTCCAGTGATTTTGAAACTGCACAGTTACAATATTATTTTTTAAACAACTTTAAGGCCACACAAAACAAATTAGGCCAAGAAAAATAAATATAATAATTACAATATCATAACAATATACTGACAAATTTCATTCACGCCATATATAAACATAATAAACTGACCAAGGACACAATGACATACATTTCATTAACATACTGACCAATCACATACCTTCTATGGATATACTGATCATATCATATACTCCATACATTCACTGACCAATTACAGCCTAGCCATACAAACATTGACCAATGACATACACTCATTACATAAACTGACCAATATCAAACACTCCATAAAGCACTGACCAATAACATACACTCTGTACAAACACTGACCAATACATACACTCAAAACAAACACTGACCAATACATACACTCAAAACAAACACTGACCAATAACAAACACTCCATAAAACACTGACCAATACCATACACTCCATTCATAAAACTGACCAAAAATATACACTCCATTCAAACACTGACCAAACACATACACTTCATACGAACACTTCATAAATATACCTACCAATCACACACATCCCGTTGAAACATTGACCAATTACAAGCACTCAATACTTAGACTGATCAATTATATAAACTCCATAATACATTGACCAATGGCATATTCTCTGTACATTCGCTGATCAATTTAAAATAATGTATACATATATTAACAAACTTAAATGATTCCATGCATTTACTAATCAATAGAATACACTCCAAGCATACATTGATCAATAACATACAATCCTTACATACAGTCACTACGTACATTCATTCATGCATGCACAAGCCAATGTCATGTATTCCATACCATAACAACCAATTACATATTCACATAATTACATATTATACCCTCTATTTAAATATTGACAAGTTTTTACTCCCGATGATCAATTAATACACTCAAAACATATAATGAGCGATTGCTTACAGTCAAAACATTTACTGACCAATTACTTTAAATGCATTTATATAATGACCAATAACATGCACTCCATCGTATTCATTACATAAACCTAAAAAATATACTGATCAATTACATACACTCCATCGTATTCCAATCCATTACATAAACCTAAAAAATATACTGATCAATTACATACACTCCATACATACACTGACCAATAACAAACCCTAACCCTAACTCTAACCCTATCATTTATTGATCAATTACATACACTCCATGCAATACTGACCAAATACATTGTACCAGTAAAAAGCAATACTAAAGGGTTTGTTTTCCAAAATTACCTGAGTTTACAAGTTGCAAATAAGGCTTTTTACTTATTTGATTTTTGTTTTTTTTTATATGAAACCACATTACAAAATTTCATGAATCTTTGTAGATAATAAGGACATACTATATACATGATGTAGATGTACATATCGACAGGAAAATACGATTCAACATTTTTCCAGGAGTTTTGCCCCTTAGAACTTAGAACTTAGATCTAAATATTCTACATCACCAGTATTCATCGCATCTCCTATGAATCCACACAACAAAATTTGTTGAAACTTTGTAGATAATTTGGACAAATTATTGTATTAGTTGACTTGTGTACGGGTTATGAGTCTTTGAACTTCGTGATGTGGTGAGCTTTTGTTTTCCCAGTGACAATGCGGTATGTGAGCGTGCTCACATATTATCACACAGGTTTTTTAATTAGAAATAGTAATGTTTTTAAAGAACAGCCAGATTGTGCACTCCATACATATACTAAATTTATAAATATATAAAGTACATAATCTAATATGCATAAAATGACTAATATTTTCTTCATTGTAACTAGTAATCATGTAAAATCCATAGTTTAATAAATGGTTAATATAACTGCGATGCTTTTAGTCGGAGATATTTACCAAAAAGATTTACAATTGCCATGGATTGTGATTTGTTGGCAATATAAAGTGGTGTCTGACCTTTCTTATCACACAATCTAACATCCGCATTTCATGCAAGTAATAGAATCATGTGCAAAACAGTGTAGCCGAGACCATTGATTGACGCGCTAAAATATCCCATTGACTGGGTCAGATGAGGTGAACGTTCGTCTGTAACGCCCACAACTCACGACATATTTATTATAGACATTTAAACTGTGGGGTCACCAAAGGGTCTCAACCCCTAAATAAAATAATTCGAAAAACTAATCAGGAATAACCTTTGTGTTTTGATTTATGTTGAATACTTAAACGTTCTTTACTTGCGTTTTTGTTATGTTTGATAATGCATGTTTATGATATCGGACGTTCTTTCAGCAAAAAAGGATTTAACTGGCTTTAAAAGTTACAATGGATATGTTGATTATTATCTTTTTTTCGGACGTCAAAGCGATTTAACAATTGCGGTTGTCCAATTATGTCATCTTTAAACTTTTATCTGGTCAAAATTTTATTTTAGAACGAATGCATGATCAACTTTAAAAAGTGTGCAAACACAAAACATATAGACAAAATATACTTCTTTCCTGTCTTTTCCGTACTTGCAAGTTATTAGACAGTAAAAAGGCTATTTGGATCAAGCCTTGTGAAATTTGCATTTACGTTTTTGAATAGGTAAAATGTATAGTTTGGTGATCTTTTCTGCTAACTACTATACTTGTGAAAACCCTTGGCAACAGAAACATGTTCAGCTTTTTTTTTAATCGACCCAATTTACATAGTAATGGACGACTTTGTACATTTTATGATCGCAAATAAAATATGTATATAATATACTGTGCACTGTAGTTCGTATATATACTGAGACCCTTTGGCAACCCCACAGTTTAAATGTTTATAATAAATACGTCGTGAGTTGTGGGCGTTACAGACGAACGTTCACCTAATCTGACCCAGTCAATGGGATATTTTAGCGCGCCAATCAATGGTCTCGGCTACACTGTTTTGCACATGATTCTAGTTCTACAGTTTCAATGTGATCTGGATATCTCTCTTTTAAAGTATACATATACTAAAGTTATAAATATAAAGTACATAAACTAATATGCATAAAATGACTAATATTTTCTACATTGTAACTAGTATTCATGTCAAATCCATAGTTTATTAGATAGTTAATTTAATTGTAATGCTTTTAATTGGAGATGTTTACTAAAAAGATTTAAAATTGCTACGGACTGTGATTTGTGGGCAATATCAAGTGGTGTCTGACCTTTCTTATCACACAGTCGAACATCTCCATTCCATGTAAGTTATAGTTCTACAGTTTCAATGTGACCTGGATATCTCTCGTCGAAAGTATACATATCATATATTTGATTGCTAAATGAATAAATATCACAAGCCACATGTAAAGATTATATTCCATCTTCTTGTTCACACTGAGAGATATCAGCAATGTTCTGAAGTAGCATATCTATTGTATGTTTACGTCCTCCTTTACAGGCTACATGCAACGGAGACTCTCCATCATAATTACACTGATTGACACCAGCCTTGTTCTGAAGTAACAGTTCTACTGTTTCTCTTTGTCCTTCAGCACAGGCCGCATGCAATAAAGACTCTTTGTTTCTGTTACACTGAGAAACATCAGGCTTGTTCTGAAGCAACAGTTCTACTATATCGTTATGTCCTTCTCTACAGGTCACATACAATGGAGACTCACCATTATCATCACACTGATTGGCATCAGCTTTGTTTTGAAGTAACAATTCTACTGTATCTTTATATCCTCTTCTACAGGCCAAATACAATGGAGACTCACCATTGTTATAACACTGATTGACATCAATCTTGTTCTGTAGTAACAGTTCTACTGTTTGTTTATGTCCTCCTTTACAGGCCACATAAAATTGAGACTTTCCGTCATCATTACACCGAGAAACATCAGCCTTGTTCTGCAGTAACAGTTCTACTGTATCTGTATGTCCTTCACCACATGCCACATACAATAACGACTCTTTGTTTATGTTACACTGAGAAACATCAGCCTTGTTCTGAAGCAACAGTTCTACTATATCGTTATGACCTTCTCTACAAGCCACATACAACGGAGACTCACCCGTCTTATTACACTGATTGGCATCAGCATTGTTCTCAAGTAACAGTTCTACTGTATCTTTATGTCTTCCTTCACAGGCCAAATACAATGGAGACAATCCATTCTTATTACACTGATTGACATTAGCATTGTTCTGTAGTAACAGTTCTACTGTTTCTTTATGTCCTTTAGAAAAGGCCACAAACAATGGAGACCATCCATCCTTATCATACTGAGAGACATCAGCATTGTTTTGAAGTAACAGTTCTACGGTATGTTCATGTCCTTTTCTACAGGCCACATGCAATGGAGACTCACCATACTCATCATCACACTTATTGACATCAGCATTATTCTGCAGTAACAGTTCTATTGTATCTTTATGTCCTCCTTCACAGGCCAGAAACAATAGAGACCATTCTAAATCATTACACTGATTGACATCATCATTGTTCTGCAGTAACAGTTCTACTGTATCTTTATGTCCTTTAGAACAGGCCGCAAACAATGGAGACAATCCATTGTCATCACACAGATCTTCATCAGCATTGTTCTGTAGTAACAGTTCTACTGTATCTTTATGTCCTTAAGAACAGGCCACAAACAATGGAGACAATCCATTGTCATCACACTGATCGACATCAGCATTGTTATGCAGTAACAGTTCTATTGTATCTCTATATCCTCCTTCACAGGCCGCATACAATGGAGACATTTTATATATGTTACATTGAGATACATCAGCATTGTTCTCTAATAAAAATTTAGCTACAGCTGAGTGTCCTCTTTCAGATGCCTTATGTAAAGGGGAATTGCCTTTTCCGTCTGTGTTATTCACATTACATTTAACATTAACAATCAGAAATTGAACAATATCAAAATAACCCTTAATTGCTGATTCTATTAAGGGTGTTGTATAATTGTGTGCGTAAACAGATATAGTTGTTCATTATCACGATCATAGTCTATTATGCAACCTTGTGTATCAAGCTTCTTTAATACTGTTTTTGCATCATCACTCCTTCTTTAATAGCTTATTAACTTATCGCGAAATGTCTGATAAATTAACTGGTAATTATGGAATGTACTTGTAATGACATGCTCTTTTAAGTCACATAACAGTCGTTCAAAATAATCTTCTTCTTGGTCTTTCAATAGTATAATTGAATCATCCTTTTCATGGACTTCCGTTAGAGAATCGAAAATGAAATGATCCCGAATAAAGGCAGAGGGAGCATATTTTATGAAACATTCTGTAAGCTGCTGTCCACAGATTACAGCTGCCATTTTAAAGATTTTGTCATGTATCATTCTATACTCTGTGCCTCTCAGTTTTAAAAAGGTGCCATTTAAGGTAGCACAATACAAAGATTTTATACCTCCAACTCCCCAGTTTTAAAATGCTGTAACTTTCTTTATAATGCTTGAAAATTTATAAAAGTGGTATTTATGGATAGCTAACAGATTAATCTTTCAAATTAATGCAATGTTAGTATTATACAACAATTATGTAATTAATTATAATTTTAACTGTGTCTACAAAATTTTACAAGAAATTTCCACTTTCAATTGAAATTAGCTTCTTCATGGATACCCCGAGAGGGTCGATTTTATAATATGTTGTTCCTAGAGCCATTATCTACAAAAGGGTGTCTCAGATTTTGGATAGAATGTATAGATCAAATTTTACACCTAATCAAATAATCTCTACTTTTATGTGGTAAGGATGTTTACACTAATTACAGATTTATGAGAGAATGGAATAAGATAGCCATAATTTGAGACACCCTTTTGTAGCTCCTGCTGTGTTGATTAAGATAACGTTAAAATTTCTTGTGTAGTTATAGAGATGTCAGAGCTAAATTCATTCAAGTGAACTGACCAAGATTTTGCCATTAATTGCATAATAATTGATTACATAATGATTGCATAACAAAAATATTGCATTCATTTAAAAGATTAATCTTTTATCTATCTATATATACCTCTTTTATTCATTTTTATGCAGTCATAAGAAAGTAACATCATTTTAAAGGTTGGAGATTGGAAGTAAAAAAATCTTTGTATTGTGCTACCTTAATGTCGAAAAACCAGATTTTAAAGAATTTCTATGCTTCTCTTTGCTTAAGTCTAAGTCAAATTCTTTAACAATGTCCTCAAGTTTGTCCTTCTTGTTTTCTGAAACTGATCTTAATTTCAGTCAATCTGTATTGAACCCATCATTAAATGTGATACACAGAGCAAGTGCACAAAATTGTTCTTTGTTTTCATTAATAATGTTGTTTATGTTCTTTTTAATACTGATTAAAGGAGCTGTAAACAGTTTCTTGACTTCCTCAGATGTTTTGTCTTTTGACAATTTACAAAGCAAGGGAAAGTAATCAACGTTCTGCATGACTTGCTTTTCATGGTCAATTACGTCACCAGGAAGGTACTTGTGCAACATAAGCATTATTTCAGCTTCCTGCAGACACAACTCTTCTGATAATAAATTGCATTCTTTTTTTGTGAATAATTTAATACGTTGAAACTGTGATTCTTTATATATATGCAGTCTACAAGAAATCAGTAATTTTGGACATAAATTTTGAGACTGTGCCATCATTTTCACTTGCATCATCTTTTACCTCAACTTTGAATATTTTCTCCATTTTTTCTGAATAATCTCTCCACATCTGTAATGGCTGCATGTTGATCGTTTCCTTCCCACAGATGTCATCAACAATAAAGGCTTGCTTCTTGTTTTTATCATAATAATTTATAATGTCTGTTGGTCCTGTTAAAACAGGTATTATCTCATATCCAAATCTGTCACGTAAGTGAACGGCGGCATGATGTATGTTAGAAGATTTACCACAACCCGAGCTCCCTGTCACAAAGATACAGTTATGCAAGGATAGTGATCCAAGTATGTGATGTGTTGCTCTGGTTTTGACGAAAGTAATTTGGTCATGCTCCCATTCTCTTATTTCTTGTTCATGTTGAGCTACAAAGTAAAAGAAAAATTATAAAACAAACTGTTGTTCTGTTTTCTAAATTTAATTCTATCATACACTAAAGGAAAAATGGTTTATTTCAGGTTACAAAGAAGAAATTTATTGCTTGCTTAACTGATTAAAACTGAATATGTCGAAAGTCTTTAAGGACAATCTTTGAGTAAACATTACTTAGTACTATACCTTCTGATGGAATATTGCATCACAATATGCAATGTCGAAGTTGTGAAGGACTGATCGTACCATAAATACACAATGACAGATCATGGAGATGAAAGGGGACGAGGTAGGTGTGTCCCCTGCTCAGACATTGTAACATTTTTATATCCAGCAAGCAAAAGGGGGGGGGGGGTGAAAGGAAGGAGGGTGAGGGGGAGGTAAACCTGACAGTGGTATTCAAATTATCGGAGGATAATCAATTTAAACCCTATTTACTAATTTGGAATTGAAGCAATAACTCGACTACTAATCCTTGTTCGCTAAAAGTTTCAGGTCCATTTATCTGTTAACTAAAACATGAATTATCTTTAAGCCCTAGCTCTATCATATTTACTTAGACCTTTTTTTGTATACACAAGTTTAAATCTGCATTAGAAGCTCTGGATTTTCTTTTTAATGTAAAATAGAATTTTGTCTGGTATACAATTGATTTTGGGGAAACTATGACTATTTTTATATTACTTTGCCGGGCGTCCTAGAAAAATATTATCAACATTACAACCATAACAGTTATATTCATAGTGCAGTAGCGTTAAGACAAATTCAGACTCCTAAATTTTTATTGATTTTTTACACTGTAAAGAAGTAAAAAATGTTATTTCCTTAGTGTTTGTGTATAGTGATGGTGAACATTTTGTTGAAATGAAAGAACTTTGGTGTGTCAAGGAAAAACAAGTAGACTTGGGTAACATATCCTCATATATTTGCTTCAAATGTAGGAATTTGCAACAACACTCAATTTCTAAACGCTGGATAAGGTGTTTCTTATTTTTGTAGCTTCCTGAGCAGTATATTTTGATACTTCCATTACTATGTCATGACGTGCAGAGGTAGGATCATGAAGATGGACCAACTGACAGCAGAAAGAATGCTTATTTATATCTGGAGGTCAAATAATGAATTTCTACTTGAAATATGACTTAGATAAACTTTACTTAAAATTTCAATCAAAAATACAGAATACATGAAAAAGTCAAGTTGAAAGGAAGTGATAATTTGTGATCAGATTATTGCCTATTTAGTACATGTGTCATTGTATAGGCTTTAGGTCCGTCCACATTTTTAATTAACCCATTTCACATTCTGATTAAAATACAAATTTTGTGTTTAAGCTTTGCTTATAGGAATATTACAACACTCCGTTTTACTTTCTGTTTTGGTAATTATTATATCAGTCAATTCAGTTTCAGCCTTTAAAGTTTTGAAAGTGCGTATTAATCCGACAAAATCAGAGGAGATCGAAAGGTGTTTAAAACAGAAAGTAGAATGCAGCGTTTTCAGATCCTTGTAAGCAAAGCTTGAACAAAGGATCTGATTTTTAATTAGATTGCACATGTTTAGAGAAACTGGTGTCAGTGATTGGATTTCTACAACAGAAGCTTCTGAAAACCACTATGTTGGATGTTTTCAACATCGATATTACAAGGCAAATGGTAGGTAAATCCTCTTTTTATAACAATACAGGCTATTCTTTTTCCAATGGATTTAAATCATTGATTATGCACCAAAACAATAATCTATATTGACCAAAAAAAAATACATATGTTTAACTTTTAACCTACTTTTGTCTAATACATTTCATATTCTTTCACATTTTTTTCAGTAAATCATGAGACTTTTTGAGAGAAACATGTAACTGGTCAAAACTGATTTTCTGGAATATTCATTAATTACAGTCCATATGAGTCCAATATGGTCTTTGTTTGTTCGTTTGATCATTACATATTCTATTCAATTGAAGTAAAACTGTCTTTTCGTTTGGAAAATGTCCAAAGGGTTAAAGGGCAATAACATCTATAATTAGTCGCCTGATAATTTTTGATACGGCCAAATAATGCTAATACAAAAGTATCATTAACTTATTGTTATTTGTTCCTCTTAAACTGTCCAACCGTTAACATGCAAAATATGCACAATACTTTTCATAAAGATGAGATGTGCTAATACTAAAACAACTACACACCAATTATCATTGGCCTACCATAAGTGGTTTCCTATACACTAACCTAATCACAAACTGTAACAAGACTTAGTAATCTATGCAAAAGACAAAAAATACCATGACTGAGGTAGAGGGCCAAAATAATGTTAAAGGCGTCAAAGCAATGAGATGTGCTAGCTACTAATAACACAACTAAACACAAAGTGCAAAGCTCTTATTCCCTGTACGGATTTGGCTGTACTTTAGGTTCTTGTTGGTTTTATAAGTTCTGTAACGTTTGTATTAGGTTTTAAAATTTCAAATATTTTTGCCTCCAGCATCACTGATAAGACATTGATTGTCGAAAAACATTTCTGGTGTAGTAAAGTTTGTATCGTCACCGTAAGGAATAGTATAAAATTGTACCGGTTTGTAAGTTCTGAAAATTGAAACTGGATATGACACACAACCTTCATTAATAAAATACAAGTTAAATGATTGATAGGAGCTATTGTTCTACCCAAGCAATTTCTACCAGTTTATATACATGAAGAGCACTTGATATCGGATATAAAAACAAGCACATATATAACAACGGATGCCCTTGTGTGATTATTGACAATAGAGATTTAGTAAACTTGAATTATGCATACATCGAATATGTTGTGGAATATGATCTTCAACTTGATTTTTTATCTCTTCTTTTAGGTTATCTGAAAACAATACAGTTACTCAAATTGCTATACATCAAGAAGAGGTCTTGTTTGATTGTTTTTTCTGTCATATTCTGACCTTTTAGCTGATCATAGGGTGTGGATTTGCTCATTGTTGAAAGCCAAATAGTGACCTTAATATAGTTTCTTAAATTAGTTTCATTTACATTCAGTTGGATAGTTGTCTCATTGGCAATCATACACCTCCTTATTCATGTTATTTTATACAAAAGATCAAGCATCAACATTGAATTCCTGAATTGAAAACAAAAGCAGAAATAAAATGATTTATCATTAATGAAAACTTGGTATGTAATAACCTTATAAGCTTTGTAATTGAATACGCGTTATAGTCAATAACTAAGTATGATATTAAAAAATTCAAGTAATGGTTACCCTCGTGCTATTCATATTTTTATTATTTGTTGATATTATTTAAAACCATTAATACAAATATACTTCTGGTCATTCGTTGAACACTAATCAAATTAGTTGATCTCAACAGTCCTGAAGCTTGTAAATTCTTTTATACCACTATTTGTATTGTTAAATTGTCATTAGCTTTTAGTATCATTTATACCACAAGCAATTCATCGAAACCAATTCACAATCAGTGAATTTGTTCTGTGAAAATGACAGAAACAATTACTATACTCACTTATTGTTTCATCATGCTCCTTAGTTTTCTGAAATATAATTGAGTACCTTTAAGGATATTTAACTCAAAGCAATAACTCAAATGTAACTTTAGTAAAAATGTCAATCAGTGGTGCTGTATAGTTTAGAGTTTTGAAAAAGAAATAGCAACAAAACCATCAATCGCAGAGGGAAAGACAGTACCATGGCAACACAAACTAGATGTTAAGATACGATATAGATGCCCTCGCATTTAATACAAAGCAATAAGAAAATGTGTGTTGAATTGAAACCAAATGAGCCAAAATGTTGCTTTACTGATAATGTTTCTTGAACCAAGTTACTGCGTACCTGTATCATTTTACAAGAAAATAAGCAAACATGAAAAGATGAACTGTTAACACAGAGAATGTCCAGCCTTTTTGTTATTTTGATAGAACAATGCAAATGTAAAACATAAAATAGGAATACTTTAACATTTAAGTTAAGCAAAATATTCAGTCAATGAACCATGACTGAAGGTACAGGGCCAAACAATATCAATGGAAATGAGATTCACTAATGCTAATATAACTGCATACCCAATATCATAGATTTACCACTCGTGTTTCCAAATAAACTGACAAAAACACAAGCCAATTCATGAACATTAGGCAAAAGAGTCAATATACCATATTTGAGGGCGTGGAGCCAAACAATCGCCATTAAAATGAAATGTGCAAATGCTAAAACTACTGCATACCAAATATCATTGAACTACCACTAGTGGTTTCCTCATAAACTGACCTAATCATGACCTTATACATTGTACGAAGATTTAGGGTTAATAGACGACACTAGGGGGCAGGGTCTAACAAATTCAATGCTAATGTAATGGCAAACTAAATATCATTAATCTACCACCAGTGGTTGCCTATAAACTGACCTGATCTCAAACTAATACATTGTTGACACCGCCACCACAGTCGCCGAAAACAGCATACATATGTTTTGCCTTTTGACCACGTCAAGGCGACACAAGAAAGGGTCAACATTGTGATTGAGGGGCAACAACTATAAGACTATTTCATTTACTTTGACTCATTGGAGATCTTGTGTTGCTGGTCACATTTGCTGTCCAAAACTTTTATCTATCTAAAAAGGTATTCAAGATATCAGACAAGAAACACTAAAATATGTCAAAATTGTCTTTAAAGAACAATACTTTTGTCGACTCATTATTTCAGTAATAATCTAAAATTGCTTCATATCATTATCTGATTATTTTTCCTTCTGCAGTTATTCTCAATCTCAAATCCAACTTTGAGTTGACAATTTGGGCCGATTGAAAAAAGAACTTTACGACAAAACGGATGATTTCAGGTTCCAAATTGTGACCTTTCCATTTCTACGTAGCAACATTACTGCTGCACCTGCATACAGAGTATATATCTTCCAGTTGATAGGCTATTCAAGGGCTTGTATTTCCTATTATGATTTCCTTGATAAGAGGGTTGCTGCTAACAAGGAAGCTAGTAAACCAATAGTTCCAAGTAGTTATGCCTTCATAATTTTTACGGACACCATAACGAGTTGGTTGACCGTTATGGAATATCCGTTTCACAGATGGTAGCGGATATGTTCCAACAATGTACCTACAATCCCGTCCCCCTTTTCAAAAATGTGGCCTACCGAATTAAAGTTATCACCCGGTTTCTACTAATATGAGCAACACGACAGGTGCCACAAGTGGAGCAAGATATGCTCACCCTCCGGGAGCACCTGAGATCACCCCCAGTTATTGGTGGGGTTCGAGTGGCTAAGCATTTAGTTATCTATGTTGTGTTCCATGTAATGTTGTTTGTCTTTTTTCTTTTTTAACCATTGCATTGTCAGTTTATTTTTGACTTATGAGTTTGAATGTCCCTTTGGTATCTTTCACCTCTGTTCTATACTTTTACAAAAATGCAAACATGGGCTAAAATACTTATTGAAGGGAAATAACCAAAAGGAATTGACTGATGATGTTGCCATATTTAATAATTAAATCTGTTATGCAGGGAAATAAAAAGTATAACAAAAGGTGGACAGAAGTAGCTACAGCCAGACAGATAAAAGTTTGACAGATTATGACACTTTTTCTATCATGTTGTTACAGACCATGAATATTTTTCTTCTTATTTGCACATGAATCCATACATAAAGCAAAATATCGCTGAGTAAATGGGTTTCAGCTTTTTCTTATTTCAGAAAATATCACTGAGACTTTCTGGGGTGTAATTAAGGTAACGTATATTAGTTGAGCATTTAATTTTACATACATTTTCTAATTCTTTTATCCTTTCCTGTAAATCGCTTTCTATTGTTGTTAATTCTTTTTGCACTTTATTAAACAGACTGTCTGTTTCAGAACACAAAGTCTGTAAATATCTACTAAGAATGTGTGTCTGTTGACGAATGTCCCCCACAATCTCTAAACCAAGTGTTGTTCCTCTCAGGAAATGTTGACCTGCAAAACAAGATCATTTGTTTACAAATGCAGGTATGGATTTAGGATACTTGTTACTGATTACTAAATAAGTGTTTATTGTGTTGTCTGTGATATGGATCAGAGTAAGGAAGTTTGTGTTGTCTTTGACATAGATCAGAGTTATAAAGTTGTGTTGACTGTGAAATCGATACCAGTAATGTATTTAGTTGTATCTGTGATTTGATCCCCAGGATGGAATTTGAAATGTCTTTATTGTATGAGGTTTTTATAGTTTTTATTTAAAAATGTGTTGCTCAATGAATTATCTATATAACATAATTCGTTTTTACAACAAATGAACTAACCTACTGACAGTGTGAATGTTGAAACTTACATAGTACACATATTTTTTTTATTTAAAATAGTACATTTAGTATGCGATACATTTTATATTTAGTTACCATTTGTTGCCCAAGTGTTTAGTTCTCCAAAGACCCTGGTCTCTTCTCTGTTACTTAGTCCAAGGTCCTTAACAAATTGTCCAATTAAATTGAACGAATCTGTATATTTTCCTGTGGTCCATTCTCTGAAGTCGCAATGTGCCCACGGATTACGTATTTCTGATCGTATCTAAACAATTAAAAAAGAAAGATTAATATTTAGTCAATTTCATAAAAGATGACAGAAGAATACCTCTGTTTTAAAAACTAATGGAGAAGGTAAAATTTTGGACCTAACTGACACTAAATACATATATCTTTCAAATTTGTTCAATAAAAAAAGAGGCAAGAGACAACAAGGAGACATTTGAACTTATAAGGTCAAAGAAAAATCGACAACGTCATGGCAAAATACAAAATACAACGACAAAACAAACAAGTCCATAATAGACTAGAATCAAAAGTACACAATCATGCAATAATGCATATATTAAACTATCTTGAAAATTGATACCTTTTCAGCATCGGTCTGTACACTTGACTTAACATTAGAAGACCAATATAATTCCAAATTTTTTGTATACCTCTAAGGCTTGGTACTATATTCTGTATGTGTTCTACTTGTCTTTGTAAATCAGTTGGTATTGCCTGTTTTAATGACCTAGATGCTTTTAGTTCGGCCATTTTGTTATTTTACACTACATCTCTATTTTTGACGAACCAGTGATCTTTGCTAGACAGATCCCTTCCCTTTAAAACGTTTCATTATTCCTGCAAAAGTAACAATAGAAAACGTATAATTTATTTCAGAAATATTATAATATTAAAAAAAAGCATATAATGTTTGTTTGGTTGTTATTGTTTTTTGATGGTTTTTTTGTGATTAACGACTCTCTCTGCTGTATTTGCTTTATCGTGGCAACCAAGTTTAAGGATTATTGAAGCAACTGTTCCAACCTTCAATGATATGAGAAAAACGTGTCCTATGCTTGTTACTGAAAGGAGCAAATTTCAAAACAGATGTATGAACATGTTGCTTCGTTTATGTTGTCATAAAAAAAACCCAGAAAACTGTTGATTTTCGTTTAACCAATTTTTTGTTAGGCAAAAGTGTTTTTACTAAATATATCAGCTAATTGTTTTAAGAGACTAAGAAACAGACTGACTTAAAACTAAATATTGATCAGTGAACCAAGAAATTGAGATACATACCAGATAGATAAGTGAATGTTCCGTCATTGTATATAGGTTGCACTTCTGTAAACATAAACAATGCGATTTACCATAGGAACTCCCTTTGCGGCTAAAGCTGTGCCACTTTTACTAAAGTTTTAAAGAAAGATGATTTACACTACTTTTTTTTATTTTCAAAGGTCAAAACATAGGGCTGTGCGGCATATTTTCAACATTTATATGCCCGAACTTCTAAGAGTTTAAACTTATACTTAAATTCTGTACTACCCCTACCTTTACTTTGAGTCTTCCTCAGAATTCAATTTTTGCTGCTACTATATGGTTTTTATACTGGTAACATTCCCAAGTTATTTCTCATTATTTCTCTATGAGATGAAACATAGAGATCATATATGGGAACCAGTACGTAAACAAAACAAAATATCTATGATTATAATATATCTCCCTAAAAGAGGCGTGGCTTGTGAAACAGCTGTATTTACAAAGTGTAACCTGTAATAACTGTTTTGTTTTATATACTACGTGAATGATCAATAGGACCCCTGGTAGTCTGCCTCGAGTGCAGGAGCTAGTGGAAACCAATACTTAAAAATTCTATGCACTATTGTGATGGTGAAATGATAATGACTGGTTTGACTAGAGTAAGCAATATTTGTTTGAGACAATTTTTATCCTACAGATTAGTTAGTAAGTTTATCAAAAATTAATATGTCAGTGTCGGTTTCGTACAAATGCTGAATCATATCAATTACACTTGATAGCTATGTATTTAACATTTGGCCGTGAGGTTCATTAACCATCCATTCAATTATCTATTCTTATATTAATTGACAAAAATGGTCATTTTACAACACCTGTAGATATTTCTAAACATTGATGAAGTATTTGAGTAACATGAATCACTGCTTCTAAATCTATAAAAGAAAGTTTTAAATGATACAAAGTTCCAGTAAAAAACTTTCCGTTAAATAAAGGCAAAAGTAGTATACAGCTGTTCGAAACTCATAAATCGATTGAGATAAAAACAAATCCGGGTTTCAAATTAAAACTGAGGGAAACGCATCAAATATAAGAGGAGAACAACGACACAACAAAAACACAACATTTAAATGTAACACACACACAGAAACGAACTATAATATAACAATGGCCATTTTCCTGACTTGGTACAGGACATTTTAAGAAAAATATGGTGGGTTGAACCTGGTTTTGTAGCATGCCAAACCTCCCACTTTTATGGCAACGTCAAACACAACACCAAAACGACAACATCACATGACAGGACCACAATACACTAAATGGGAGAACATATAGGACAAAGAAACACACGAATAATAGCTAGCAGAAGGTACTAGGCTTAAAATTCAATACGCCAGACGTGCGTCTCGTCCACACAAGACCAACCAGTGACGCTCAGATGAAAAAAGTTTGAAAGCCAAAACAAGTACAAAGCTGAAGAGCACCGAGGACCGAGTTATCTATCCGATTTTTTATATGCAGATAAAACCTATTGTATTTTAAGTTACTCAGATATACGTGTATACATGAAAAAATTGAATATAAACAAAGTATGTCAAATATTTACATGACCTATGATATAAAACTCTTCTTGAATACAGTCATTTTCAATAGATTGTTATGTTTGAAATACTGTTTAAGAGGGTTGTCGATAAAAATCGGACTTGAAAAAAAAATAATTATCTAGCAATTAGCAACAACAATTTAACTTTTAACACCTTTAAAGGTAGAACTTTTCTTCATTGCCCTAATTGACAACATTAGAGCAAGAGCGAACAGCATAATACATTATGGATTAATCTAAACAAATGTTATCATTGATTTTTAAACCAAGTTCCAAATAACAAAAGAAAACATATTTGTTAAGTTATATAGGAATTCATAATTGATATATTGCCCTACAAAACAGACCAAAATTCATCTTTAAATCGTTTTTGAATGTTCCAACAATAATCAAAGTCTATTACTTGTCATTCATACGTGCATTTGCATAAAGTTGACTTTAGCTCATATATAGATACGCATAACATAAACCCATCAACTTTCTATTAAGTGTGAAATGTAAGTCCCTTTATTGATCAATCTTTAGAAGTATTGAAAAGCGGTCCTAAACGCCAAATGTGACTGAATCTAATGTTACTTTGGACTTCAATTTCACAACGTAGATACACAAATATTGTTCTGAAACTGACATCATGGTGCTTGATTTCTTGTTTGACAGTATGTTTGTAACTTAATGAGGGTGTGTTTTTCAAAAAACATTTGGCATTATCATAAAAACTATTAATACTGCTCTTCTTGTAAACATGTTCCTTCATTTATTTGAGGCAGACTTAAAACAGGCGTTTCTTGTGGAGAATGAATGGAAGCTTTTACTATTCTTTAGATTAACTTCCGCTATATAAACGAAGTTCTCACACTAAATAATTCAAAGTTTGATGACCATGTTGAAAAACTCATCGAACTTGAAGTTAATGATATCACAGATACAGTTAAGTAAGCCTCATGAATTGATTCATATTTGTTTTTCGTAAATTGTTTTGTTATAAATTTTGCCGTTAGTTTTACCAATTGAGTAGTGTATATTTTTCATGTCGGGGCCTTTTAAATCAGACTATACGGTATAGGTGTTATCATTATTGAAACATGTACGGTTGCCTATAATTGCTTACATCCACTTCATTTGAACTTTGTTGGATAATTGTCTCATTCTCAAACATACCACATCTCCTTATTTCTAAATTAAATCTATGAATATTGACACGTTTGAGGTGGAGGTAGTCGTTATTACTTTCTAGTTCTGGAGGATATATTGATGGAACCTAATCAGAAAAGTTTGGAGTGTTAAAGGAAAACACATCAGCAATATATCTTAATGTGAAATTAAATGATCTGGCTTCTTTCATCTTTTGTTTTGACAAGTGTTTGAAGGAATTCATACTCCTATGAAAATAAGAAGAGGTCGGCCACTTAAATATAACAACAAATTATACCATATGGTATCACAAAGCAATAACTTTGTAGCGTATGCTACCATTTTGTTTAATTTTTTTCAATATCACACGAGGCAATGATGACGATCAGCAGATTGGAGGATGAAAGGATAAATAAAGTAAAATAAATATAAATAAAACTACCTTTGAAAATTACGAATTCCATTATGCTGTTGATACCACAATGTGTTTAAAAAGCGTTAAAACTTTCTCTTTAGATTATTATTTGATATTCCAGAGCGAGGGACGAACCTAGGTAAAGGTCATATCTGTTTTCATGTATGTGTTATTATGAGGTTAAATAAAGCTTTTCAAACTTTGGGTTCTGCTTCTTCATTGAATAAATTGCCGATTATAGTCTACATACCTTTCGTCTTATCGCGTATTTTTCACAAAATGTGTTGTTGATCTGTTTTCGGAACATCACTCGAACAAAAAAAAGGACACAAACACGCAATTGAAAATATTTTTTTTTTTGTACTACTATTCATATAAACATGATAATTTAAGATTTAAGAAACTGCATTTGCATTCCCTTATCTTCTGTAATTAACATTACAAAAAATTTGTAAAAGACTTATGTCGGAAAAAACAAATCAAATGGATAAATACATGAATTTTGAAATCACGAATTCATTTTAAACTCGACGAAAAGCTGTTTAAACAATGGATAATATTTATTATGAGGTTAAATAAAGCTTGTCAAACTTTGGGTTCTGCTTCTTCAATGAATAAATTGCTGATTATACCTTTCGTCTTATCGCGTATTTTTCACAAAATGTGTTATTGACCTGTTTTCGGAACATCACTCGAACAAAAAAAGGACACAAACACGCAATTGATAATATTTGTTTTTGTACTACTATTCATATAAACATGATAATATAAGATTTAAGAAACTGCATTTGCATTCCCTTATCTTCTGTAATTAACATGACAAAAAGTTTGTAAAAGACATATGTCGGAAAAAAACAAATCAAATGTATAAATACATAAATTTTAAAATCACGAATTCATTTTAAACTCGTCGAAAAGCTGTTTAAACATTGACGAGAGAGTATTAGATATTTATCTTTCAGTTGAATCATTCATCTAATATGTTATGTTTTGTTATATTTATTATTCAAATAATAAAGACAGATAATCAAATATCTGGGTTTTTTTTGTCAAACACATGTGGTTCGCTTTGTTAATACATAAAGATTTCAATTAGACTAAATAAGTACAAACCATCAAAAAATGATTGACCCTAAACTTGTCTATGGTAAAAACGATGTAAAACGTTATACAAGTACAAATTTGATACACTATGAGAAATATATCTTTTTAAATATTCTGGTAAGCGCAATTGTGTCCTTTTGTTCGTTAGTTCTATAACACAGTTGAAAATGTTGACAATACCAAGAAGAAAATGGAAGACAATTAGTCAAAAGAAGTATGACCACACATAAGGTTACCTTAAAAAGGACGAAAACAAAA